TTGTAACACAGTGAATGGCTCATTTCCGACCCTATAAACCATATATATTCTTGATCAGGCTGAAAAGGCTAATATTTTAGTTATAAAGAAAGAAAAACAAGTTTTTGCCAATTTCTCAACATTTTTTAGGGTCTGATTACATTTTTAAAAATGGTCAAAAAATTAAACATTTATATACTTTAATCTGAGTATACAGATTTATTAACCTGTTAAAAACTAGCACAGCACTGACTTCCGTATCGAAATTAAAGTATTTTTGGTTTAGCTATGAATTTTCAAAGTTTTGGTTTGCAGAATAAATTGTCGTATAAATATATTGATAAAGATTTACTCAAAGATTGCGAATATGTTAAACATAGTTATGATTGATTTTCTTTACGTTCGTAAACTCCAATTCCAAACAATATGATAAACATTGGCTTCCCGAAATAAAGTCGCTCTTTTGTTTCGTGAGATTTTAAATCGAAATTTGAAAGATATATCTCACCCACAGGTACTATCCACACAATTTGACAAAAGGGCTAGAAATAAATAAATAAAACTATAATACATACAGAAGAGACCAGCAGCAGCCGAAAGGAATGCAATTTATTTTCGTAATAAAAATTCATTTTTATTACAATATCATTGCCGTGAAATCTAGGGCACGGAGCCAGCGGATTTATGTGGCGTTCATTATGCTGCAGGCGCTCCCTATTTCCCATATATATGTATGCAGATATATGTGTGCATTAAAAAAGAAGAAACCCCTGTATTAAGCTATTTGCATTTGGTTTCGTTTTTCCGTTTGTTTGCGAGCTTGTTTTTGTGTGCAGCTGCTGCACCTGTGCCCACCACGCAACGTGGCTCAGAATTTATGTATAAAATATAGAGAGCGTCAATAAATGCGATAAACTGACCCACGGGCATGGTTTCCGCATCCCCTTCCCTGATTTTCCATTGCCCGCTGCAGTTTTCCAATCGAGTTTTATCCATTTAACCAAGGCCATAGGCACAACCCTCTTGTTTTTTCGGACGTAGCTTGTTTGCATTTAATCCCAATAATCCAATAATAATTTGTGCAAATTTATATGCGACTGCTTAGTGCGGGAAAGTCAGAGGGGGGAGGCTTTCCATCTGGCCACTGGCAGATATCGTGTAAATAAAACAAATTGCCATAAATAACCCAGCTGGCCGCCATAAATCTCGGTGAAATGGACATTTTTGCATCTTCAAATCGTCGAGCGGGAGCCAAGGACGCTGGACACAAGATACGCAGGACATAGTACTCTGGACCCTGTGACGGGGACTCGAGGCAGAAGAATAAAATACGTCTCTGCTGGTACTTGAAATCAGCAGAATGATAAAATGCCTCCAAGTGAGGCGTCATCGTACTGTTCTGTGTACGAAATCCTCTCAAGGTCGCTGCCAGAATAAACTAAGAAGAGTTTTGGAGTGTCTGATTGTGAGACGCCAGTCCCATAGTTCACTTGTCTTATCTTCAAGTATTCTTAACTGGGATATGTTCATTTGTGATGGGTTTAATTAAACTAAAAGCTAGAATTACTATGGTTTTATTGATTGTGTCAACGATTTAAGCATAGCTCTTAATTTATTTATTGTATTTAGAATTGTAACGTATGTAAGAAGTAGCTTTTAATAAGCATATTTATTTAACAGTATGACCTAAGAACTAAATTGTTGGTCTATAACTTTAAAAATAATGTCATATCTGAAAAAGTTAGCAATATTATTGACTTAGATTATGTAACAAAGATAAAGACCACTGTGATACAAGATATTTTTGAAGAAGAGATTCATATGTAGTTTTAAGGGGCTTTAATGGTTTTTAGTATATTTCCGCTCAGACTCACATGTAATCCGCTGTCGAAACGGTTAAAACTCGTTTTATTTCGCATTGGAACGTATCCCCTAGCTTAGTTTTTAACATAACATTGTCAAACCATCGGTATGCACATGAAGTGCAATCAAATTCAAATTCCGGATCACATATATGTATATTAGACAAATCCGATTTAGTTAACGTGCATTCAAGCGCAGCTCCCAATGCCTTTGAAGATTTCCCTTGATCTTTGGCGAAACACTAACGATATGCGAATTCAATTTGAAAATAATAAAAATATCTATTCAACTCAAACGCACAGCTTCTTCCTCTGACGACCGACTATGATTCCTGATTATGATTATGACTTCAGTGAGTGCGCTTCGTGGCGTGCGTGGAAATAAGGATATCCCCCTTTCGTCCTGGTTGTGTTGTGATGTCGTTACCAGACATTGAACCGCATTAAACTCTGCATAAATACACATTGCGTTGACGACGTCGGCACATATGGAGCCTCCATATATCCCTATCCTTTGGCGAAATACCCCCGAGAAAATGGCGGTGTGGGTGTGCGTGGTGTGTGGGTGTGGGTGTGGGTGTTGCGACTGAGAGTTAGCGACGACGTGCCAGAGGCGTTGGGCAAAATGCAATTTGATGCAGACATTACGACTACATGACGATTTTATCGTCGAGTGTAGTGCACAGACATAAACATATATGTACGTATGAGTGTGTATGTTTCTACATATGGCCTACGGAGCGACGGGATTTCCCTCTTGCACACTACTCCTCCATTACCGTTGAGTGGAAAGTGGAAAGAATCTTGCACTCGCCGTGCTTCGATGATGCTCTTAAATATTTGCATAAAAAACTACGTGGAATATGGTAAATGGTCTAGAAGTTTACACCCCTTTCTGGCTCTTCTCCTTCTCCTTCTCCCATATGTACATACTTGTATATGCCATTAACCACAAAGCCAGAAGCTGAGAGAAAGATGTTGCTGCAAAAATAATAATAGCAAACATGCTCCATAATCAACACGTACTTAAGTCCGCCCGCCGCCATTCTGGTTAGGATTTGCTTTGGCTTAGCTTCCACGGATACCCTTAATTTGAGCTAAATCCTCCGAAAAGAATGCAGTTCTCAGGCTAGGAGAATCTCATAAAAAAGTTTATATATAGGTATACATGATTTTCTATTTTTTGTTGTTGTTTAACAATTATTATATATTATTCAGTAATAACAACAAATTATTCACGCAATTAAGTGCTCATCGTCAAATAAACTTGAAAGGAAACACAGGCTATTGTAATTAAAACAATTAGCAGGGAATAAGAAAAAATCAAACAAAAATATAAGCATTATAACACTATCAGGGGTTTCAACACAATTTGCAAATAATTTTCCGGTAAATTTATTTAATTTTTATTATGAGTGTGTGTGATTTATAATTTATATTTATTATAAATTAATGCCATCAATAGACGATGACAATAAAATTAAGGGATTTGCCAACAGTGTAATTTGTATTGTAAATATACCTGCAATTACCTAGACCTTCAATAATTGTGCAAAAGGATTATAAATTATTCTGAAAACAATAGTATAAAGAAAAACTTAATAAAATAATCCAATAGATTTCGACAGACAAACCTAAAAATCATCGAATTATCACTCAGAAAAAATTGCTTTTATATTTTGGCTAATACTTTATTCACTCTCGCTCAATTCCATCGGACAATTGAATTCATTTCAATTTTGATTTGTCTTCGAGAGGACACACTTCATTCCGGCAATCACCGAATGCAAATTGCACAGGCAGGCACTGGCATCACCCGAGAACAATATTTCATTTCGATAAACAATAAACAATTTGCCGCAGCAGAATATAATACGAACACGAGTGTATGTGGGGGATGTCCAATGTCCAGAGCCATCAATAACAAAACCCAGCTCTCCATGTCTTGCCCCGCCTGGCCTCACATTGGATCGAATGTCCTGAGCAGGATGCGGATTTGGATTCGAACTCGGATTCGGATTCGGCTGCGACTTCTATTGCCACTTGATAGGCAGGCCAGGCTAAAACAATTGATTATTGTGTGCCATAAGCATACAATTTCCACTCGACCCAAGGGCGCCCTGGGAAACTCGATTGGAAATGAGAAGAAAATGTACCGCGCTCAGCCCAGGTCAACTGTCAGTTGCATATTCGAGTCGTCTGGGCCACGCCAAAAGCAAATTTAAATGTTAATCAAATGCCGCAACACAGCGAAATAAGCATAGCGTGGCCGTGGAAATTCCCATTCCATCCGATTCCGTTCGATTCGATCCGATCCGAAAAAGATGGAAACGAAGGAAAATCTCGCATGCATGCACAGGAAAATGAGTTTGATGTGGGCGGAACTCGAGGAAAAATGTAATTGACAGTTCAAGTGACAAGTGGGTCGGCGGCGAGGAAAGGTAAAAAGGATTCTCTTTTTGAAAGCCACAATAAAAACTCACCGTACAGAATGAAAAGCAACAACAAGGCTTTCAAAAATGCAAAATGCGCGCCACAACCAATTTTTAATTAAAAATAAAAATAAAATCGAAACACAACGCAACGAAAAAGTCGTTGTTTCTCTTTCCCCTTCTTTCAGTTGTTTTGCAATGCATTAAAATTAATGTCATTTTTCAGAGACTTTTTGCCCTGCTCTTCGCTTTTTTCCAACATCTGCTTTAGCTTTGCCACATTTTTCTCTCCTTTTTTTCGTTTTTGCGGTTGAATTGTTGTCCTGGCAACGCCATCATAATAAAAAGCTAACCGGTTATTTCAGAGCTCTGGAAATTCATGAACAAAACCCATAATTGAGATACGAGTGGATATTTGAAGAAAACTCGTACCAATTTTCAAAGTAGTTTCAAAAGTTGTAAACATCTGGTCATACAAAGTATTCGAATACAAAGTACTAATATCTTATAAATATCATAGAATCAATATTTAATTAAAGCAAATGTTAGTGTCATAAATCAATAATTTACAGATTTAAAAACGTATACATGGTATAGAAATACATACATACATATTATGAAGTTAATGTAAAATTAATTTTCCATGTCGCAAGTCAATTAGTTATGGATTTCAAAAAGTATATATAATTGTAGCATATGAACTTTTCAGTTCAATCTGCGAAATAAGTTCAAACTCGAAATGAAGACCCTTTTTATCGCCTTATTGGGAATTGTGGGCATTGGAAGCTTGTTCCCAACAATAGGTTAGTATGCCACATAAAAATATATTTTCAAGTTTCTAACATTAATATTAAAATCGTTTTGTAATAGAGCCCGCAAGGCCTTGGGAATAGTTAAATGCCGTACTTATATTTGTATTCAAATTGTAATAAAAATGAAGTATAATGAACATTAATAAGGTCCACTATTACGAGTTAAGAATAAAAATCAAGTAAAGGTTTTAGGACTTCATGTGAGGCAGAAGTGATATCCGTAAAGTAGAGTTTTCTAAATTGAGATACGAGTTGATGTCGGAACAATGAAACTATGCAAGGAGCAATTTATTTAAGTAACGGGGTGGGGCAATCATTGCCCCCAGAACACACATATTTGTTGATTTTGATTAACATCTCTAGATCTTCTCCCTCATGAAACGGAAAAAGGCATCGTCCTTGCCGTCATCGATGCCAATACGACGACCCCAGCGAACGCCTGTGGCTTCGAGATCGGCGATCTTCTTTATCAGACGCCGCTTCATGTCGTCCAAGTCCTTGAAGCTTACTCCAGACTGCAAATCAAACCACTCACTATCCGGAAAAAGCAGTCTTAGAACGAAATTTTAACGTGACTATATCGAATTTATATACTCACAACATTGTCGCAGTTTATTTTTGTAAAAATACTTATAATAATAAGAAAAGCTGGAGATCGATGTTGTTTTGTCTAGTTTCGGTGTCGAACTGAACTATTCCAAGGGCAGCCCCAGGTATATTGGAAGAATTTCGGATCAAGGGCTACTTGATTTCGGAAAAATTCAAGGATTTATATGAATGTAGGGTCGTACCACATGAAGTTCCATAACGCTTTATCTGAATGATTTCTAGTTTTAAATAGAGTTTAACTAATAATATCATTGAGTAGAAGATTATTAAAACATATATTCTGTTGGTTCAATTAACAAATTTGTTGAAATTTTTTTAAATATTAATATAAATATAATTTTACATGGGAAAGGGGAGTAGACTTGAATGCATATATCCCCATTTACATTCGATTAGATTAAGTAGCCGAAGTTTTATAAATCGTTTGGAGAATCCACCCACACCGCCTTATAATTCATTGTTGGCTGAATCATTATTTACACTGTAATTGCAACAATTTCCCGATTTGATGTCCAGTGCAGAGGCAGCTTTTCTTGCTTCTCCGGCCGCACTCTCCTTAAATGCGATATGTGGGAGGCGGTCGTTAAAGCATTCATGCCAACATAAAGTGAGCCGCAGTGGAAACAATGATGGTTCCTCCAGGAGGAGCCGGAACCGAAACCGAAACCGAAACCGTATGATGTTACACTTTTATGTTCACCGAGCACACCAAAGTCAATCCCTGGGGGACCTCAAACGAAAAAAAAGCAAGTGGAGCCCAGAGAAAATCATTGCCATCATCGCTCTTACCAGTTTGTGCCCGCCAGTCAAATCAATTGGCTGCAAATAAAAAACAAACAAAAAGCGACCGAACACATGCGGACACAAGCGCCGCATAGTGAGCAGAAAAGACTCTACAAATATAAATAAATCGCAGCATTTCCGCAACGGTCATGCTCTCCTGCTTTTATGATTATTATATAAATTTTCCCTTGAAATGTCATAAAAGCCAACGCAAATAAAAAGCATTGAGAGGGGGCAAGGAGTGGTCTCATCTTTCTCTTTATATATATTTTTTGGTTTGCAGTACATATACCGGGTATATTGCTTTACAGAACCTGTTCAGTTACGAAAAAAAAGACAAATTTGTTTAAACAAAAAATATTACGAAACATTCGATATTGAAATATTCTATTAAATTTTTTGTTTTTCTATCTCCACAGCAAAGAACATATTATAGAGGATAAATCCATATGCGATCTGAAGTTTTTCTCTCTAATGTTACAATTTATTTTGATAAATAAGACACTCGGAATGCTTTAACTGCGTATATACGAAATCAGCCAAAGGTATGTCAATGTCGACTTTAATATTATTTAATTTACTCAATTTTTTTTTGTGCTACAACATTTTTTCCTGGCGCAATGATGAAGCAGGAAAATGCGCTCGTCATTCGTTTGGAGAAGTGGAAAATATATATGTATTTTTCGGGCAAACAGAATGTTAGACACATGTCTGTCCTGTATTTCTTATCCCCTGGCCAATATTCAAATTTTGGACTGACTCGACTTATTAAGTTGTTAAAACAGGATACCTCTGCCCCAATTTCCACCTATTTTCTTCCCCAGCATATAAAGTGTAAATCCAAGTGTTGCCGTGTGCTTAGTAGACATTCTCAGCCCGGCTGGCAGGCAGTTTATTTCTGCAGCTTATGAATTATGAAAGTTCCTTTTTTCGGGGCCTGGGGTTTGTGTGAGTGTTGGCCAACACGCGTGTTGGCCATAAACGCCCCGCTTTATGGGCCGCAGAGCCTGGCAAATTGAAAGTGAAAAGTTAAGTTAAGTTGAGTTGCGTTGCGGTGCGTTAGAAGGGGAGGGGAAAGCCTCATTGGGGTCGCGTTATGGGGCATGAAAAGCGGGCCAGCATAGCGAGAGGAAAAATAAGCGGGGAGAGTTCGAGTGGATGGGGAAAGCAAAGTGAAAGTAAGGCAATTACCCACTTCCAAAGAGGGCCTAATATATCAGCTGAACGATTTCCACTTAAGGCCCGCTCATTTATAGTATCGTTTTAAATAACCCAGACTTCTACACCTTAAATGCATATTTACATATAGACTGAATATAGTTTTCGATGTTAGTTTTCCTTTTACAGCAACCCTTAGAGCTCAGCATAATTCTTCAATTTGGAATTTAGCTGAATGCAGCCTTTTGTATTATTGTTATTTCTTTGGTTCTTGGTTATTCATTTGCCTTGAAGTCCGCACTTCCAATTCATTAGAGCTGTCACGCTGAGAACAACTTGGGGGAGAATGGTAATGATTTCCGTAAACATGGCCAAACAAATAACGTGGCATGGGGGGGGGGGGCGGTGTGTCAGGCGACAGAAAGCTCGCTGATTTTGCTTTTTTATAGGGCTCACTTGAGGGGAAACGGAAATAGTGAAGTTAAGGGGGGGAAGTGAGAAGCGGACAGCGAATTTTTAACGTGTTAATGCCAAGGCGGCTGCTAACAAGTAGACAAACAAAGCGGGAAAAAGGAGGAAAACGCTCGGTAAAGTGGCAGCCAATGGAAGGGGATGACAAAATGAAAAAAAGGACAAGGCGACGGGAATGAGAAATGAAATCAACGCCCGTTATTATTTGTTGCGCTTTTCCCCTCCGCTTTCCCTGATAGACTTTCTCCCTTGATGCTCCCCGCTTCTTGTCTTGTTTTTTTGGTAACTTCTTTCAGAGCAATTGCTTCTTGCTTCTGGTTTCCCTCTGGCATTTGCTTCTCCGAATGAAATTTAATTGCAAAAATAATAAAAAAAAATCTTGAGCAGTTACAACCAGAAGAACAACTTCATTTGCATTGCGGATACAGGAGAAATAAATTTCAGTGACTTGGGGAAATTGCTGGGATTCGTTTTTGGTCCGAGGTAATAATGTGGTTTTCATCCTAAATCAGAGCGAAGAGCAGCGATCAATAAATACTCAGGATTCGTAATAGTCATATGTATGGAAACAAATTTTTAAATCGAATAATCAGAAAATATGGGAGGGTCTACAGTTTGTAATACAATTTTTCACAGCCACAAATAATTTAGTTACGGATTTTAAAGCGTATAAATAATTATAGCCTGTTTGTTCTAACACAAAATTAAGTCTCATTTTATCGCCTTATTGAAAATGCTCGGCATTGTTATGTGATACCCAACAGAAAGTGAGTTTTTCAATTAAAAATATATATTCATTCACTAATTTTCAATATATCGTTTTTAAATAGAGCCCAATTTAGCTGTTGCTTTGCACCCGAATTATGGAAATATATAACTTAATTTTCGATATTATTAAACAAATTTAAATTACATTTGTAAAAACGTTTATTGAAACTCGGCTGTCGAATCTCAGTTAACGTTTTTCCATTGGCCAACTTTAATATTTTTCTAATATTTGCACGTCCTATCGAAACACTCTAAATTGACCCACATAAAACGCAATTCAATTAGTCGGACTAATTAAAATTTAAGTGGCCGACCCATTAAATAGGGAATAAATAAAAATATAACAGAACGCCGACTTCGACAATGTTGGAAAATATCGCTAAAATGGCCGGTGGCGAATTTTGTGGCATGCTCACTTTATGGACTCACTTCAAAGCGAAGCTGCCAGAGAGAATCAGCACATTACACATACGCCCTGTTAGCCGGCGTTGAGCAATTTGGCTAAAGGCCAAATAAGTGCCAAAAACGGGTCGAAAAACAGGACGTAGAACATATTTTGAAACAGAGTAGCCTGAGGGTGGGGGCGGTATTTTAGCCAAACGGAAACAATTTTCAAATTAGTTGAGAGCTTGCCGGAAAAAAGAGCTCCTCAACCGCTCACCGCAGAAATTCAATGCGTTATAGACATTTATGGAATGTTTTTTTTCTTTTTGTTTTTGTGTTTTCAACTCTCTCTTTTCCACAAGGCGAAAAATGTGGAAAAATGCCAGAGCTAGTACAAAAGTTGTTAGTTTATTTTATATTCTATGTTTGTTTGCTTTTGCTGAGTGAAAATAAAATGCTGGTTATAAAATTTTATGTCGATTGAAACGTTTGGCGAAAGCATATTTCCTTTATGCCTTTATTTTATTTACCTACTGCCGCGGATCCTTTGGGTCGTCTCCTCCCTCCCCTCCTTCACCTTCTCGCCGCCTGCATTTCCGCATTGCGCGCCAAGGACATTATTCATTGTCCCCTTCGCTTCTATATATTGTTCCCCGTCCCACTCTTTGGGGGCCACTTGAGAGTGCACGGGCAGATAATAATTCTTACATGTCGCAGCAAGTTGCAACTTCTGGGTCCTTGTTAGCCCGCCTCGAATGTTAGTTCCTATTGCCTTTCCCTATCTGGTCCTGGTTTCTTTATTTCGCATTCTCGTTTTTCCCGTTGCCCGCCCGGGCCTTTTGTCTTTTGTCTTTTGGCGTCTTTTGTCTTTCACTTATGCATGTGCGTTGGCCCCGTCTTCCGTTTTCTACGATTTCCACTCACAGTAGTGGTCTGCTCACTGAGGGAAAAACTCATACAGAAGGTGTGAAAATTTCGATTGCGAATGAAACTTTTTCGATAAATAATCTTGTCTTATCGATGTACAGCCATACTTAGTTAAATCAGTCAGAACGGATTATTTTCATCAAAATAAATAATAATTTAAATGTACTACACATAATTTTTTCTAACTGTGCCTTCTGTGGAGCATTTTATGACGAGTCGAGCCTGCCACATGAGCCCCGAAGGCATTTGGCGAACAGGACAACGACAACGGCAACGATGTCCCATAAAGTGCGAAAACTTAGGAGCAGTCAAAGCTCAAGATGAAACTGAGACTGAGTCCGGGAATCAGGAGCCTTGGATATGAATCTAGAGTCTGTAGAGCTCTGCTCTTCTAATAATTTTATAATCCTTGGCTCCGGTCGAACACTCTCACATGAACGATAACTTTTGATACATCGCGAAGACCCCGTCCTTTCCTCCTCGGCCTGCAAAAGGAGACAGCCACTCAACTTTGTTACTCGAGCTTTATCACATTTGTGTTTCTGTATGTGTGTGTGTGTGTGTGCGTGTGTGTGTGTGTGTGTGTGTGTGTGTTTGTGTGGG